ACAGTATCCCCCCCCCCCCCCCCCCCCCTCCCCTATATTGGAGCCTGATGGGGGTTGGTAGAGTTGTAAGAATATTTCATGTTGTTTTCTTTGCATGTGTTGTAATATTCATTCTGTTGTAACTTTTGTTATTGTTGCTAGACATCAGAGTATCTTGGTATTATTTTTTGGAATTTCACTTTTAAAGACATGTTGAATAATATAGCTTGTCAAAATAATTGTAAATGTACATTAGTGTATGTATAAAGTATTTTGATACATTTTTTTTAAGAAGGTATTTTGATACATTTTTACTTAAAATATCATTTGCATCAAGCTGATCTGAAGTTATTATTACCATTATTTTTTGGTCAATAGTACCTGAAGTAAGTTCAACAGAAACATACAACAACATTTGTTTCTTTTGATTTGTATTTTGTAATGATTATTTTCCCAATATAAATCATGGATATTATGTTACGTTATCTGTAAACCGAAGAGTATTTCTATTACATGCCAAGGAAAACAAAAAGGACAAGGTTTCAGAAGTTACAACTACCGATTCCTACCTACAAGGAGTTGGCAGTTGGTGGGTCCTAATAGAAATATTTGCCATTATTTTTTTTTTATTACATGTATATGGTTTGAGATAATTTGTCACTATTATTTCATGTGGCTGTGGCTCTCCACTGTGCTTATAACCAGTTTGTGGGTCGAGTATAGTTTATGGGTGATGATTTCCTTGAGTTTTGTGGGTCGATTTCGCCGGATTCATTATGTTTCGACGTTTTAAAATGGCCGGTTTTGGGTTTTAATTTTCACCCATGATTTTGAGGGTTTTAGGTCATTTTGATGTTATGGATCAAAAGAGGGAAAAATTTGAAGAAAAACCCCTTTTGAATCATCGAAAACGGAGTTCCGGAGGTCAAGATATGACCAGGTCAAGTCTCGGGTCTATTCGGGTCATTTTGCAAGTGGCCGGAGGTTAGGGAAGAGTGAAACAAGTTGTCGTTTTAGTGTGTCAAAGAAAAATAACATGTCATTTTAAGCCTTAGATTTGTTTCCGCTTTTAATAAACGACTTGTCGTTTTTATTTATGCCCCAAAATGAAATGTCATTTCAAGGGACAAAAAAAAAAAAAAGGCGTTGGCGCAATTAATGCGCCAGTTGGAGCACACTTCAAACGCGCTAGAAAGAGGCGTGCACCAGCATGCTGAGCCGCGCGTCAGCGCGCGTGTCAGCGCCCAGGTGGCGCGTGTGGGACCCATTTTTGGGCCAAATTCTACCCTATTTTGTGATTTTAACTCCGTTTCGACCGTAATTTTCACCGTTGTGCTCCGTTTTTCATTTCCTAAATGATTTATTTTGGGTTTGGGCCACCATAAAATCATGTTTTAAATATTTTTATACTATTGATTGTATATTTTTATGGGTGGCTAATTCTCACAATTTTTAAACAAATTTTTTCTGGGCATTTCGTATACAATTTGTTTGATGATTGACGCCATAAAAGGTATATTATGCTTTTATTATTATATGACATATGTAATTGTGAGAATTCGACAATAGTGAATGTTTATGTACTCACCTGTCGTGAGTTTAAACATGTTAAATTGTCTATGTTACGGAGCTCTCCCACAAAATTTAACATTTTCGTTTGAAAAAGGGCATTGGGATACACACACTCCTTACATGGATTCACATGAACTACCAAAAAATATTTTATTTAAATATTTGTTTATTGTAATAATTTTTATATATTTTCAGGGTAGTTTAAATGTTGTACTCCATATTATATGGTCATATTTTATTTGTTCTCCCACATAATTTGATATTTTGGTAAATAAAATTTAGACATGTTTGTTCAGAGTTTACAGAATTTACAAATTCTTACATTCGTACACAGGGAGGATGACCACAATCCTCTCCAAGTCAGGTAGTAGCAACTCAGCTACTCCGCACTGCTTCTAGAATCGCCTGAGAGGGGTTTAACATTTATAAAATAATAAAACGTGAGTGAAAGGCCCAGTAGGATATATTTTGAAATGACTTTGTAAATAAGTAAATAAATGAGTAAGCAAGTAAATAAATAAATAAGACATTCAGTTCCAACACAACAGCCGGAACCTCACATCATTTTCCTTAAAGGAAATATAATTGAAAATCTCTGTATTACAGGCATCAGCAAGTAATTTATACTTTGATAAATTATTTACACAACCAAGTGCACAAGCCATATCACCCCGGGCCGGGTTTCGGGTCCTGCCCCCAAGGATGAACTCTCCACATCCTGTCTAGGCCATCAGCCGGTTTACCAATTCAAAAGATCTCTTGTCTTAAGAAATCATTCATTAAACTTTATGAAACAGTTCATTATATTCCCCAGAATCTACACAACCCATGGGGGTTAAAATATTTTTCTTTCGCAAACATGCCATTTCTTTAAAACATTTGCAAGGCCAAAAATCCTTTTAAAAACAGGCTCACAAAGAAAGGGGTAAGAAATCCTACCTCGTAAATATCAAACCTGGCTAGCGTTACTCTATTATGGCTTTCACTTCCTCAAGCCCCTCAATCCGAGTCCTCAGCTAGCACTGATACAAAACCATGCTTTAGGATCCAATTCACATTCCTAAAGCAATTTCAATCTCAATTATACTATTTGATTTCCTATTAGTGTGCCATAATTCAATTATTGGTTTCATAAACCATTTCATGTTTCAAATAATCATTTCAAGGGTTTTCAATCTCAAAATATGGACTAAAGATGCTAATCCATTTACTCTAGGTCCCCGAATGAAGCTAATTTGGGTTCCCCTAAAAAACTGAGGTCAAAACAGGATTTTTAGGCAAAACAGGGTCAAATCTAGTGTAGACCGGTCGATCGGTGACAGCGCAGTGCAACACCCCCAGTCGGCCGGTGGTGAGCAATTTGGTCGACCGCATGGGTCGATCGGTATACCCAATGCGGTCAACCGCACAGGTCGACATGTGAAGAACAGCAGGCGAAGAAAACCCGCGAAATCAGCCTAAAAACCTGCAAATCTAAGTCCAAATCGAGATATCTAAAAGGAAAACCACTAGATCCGGGTTCTAAGTATTAAATCAAGTCCAAAGAACCCAAGATCTTCAATTTCTACCATGGTTTTACTCAAAATCCATCAAAATCCATTTCGAACCAAAAATAAGTTTTTAAATCTGAAAATCTGAGTTTTAAGAGAAGTTTTTTAGATATCTTACCTCAAATCCTTCTCTTGGCGTTGAAAACTTTTGAAAATCCTTCTTTGGTTCGACATCCGGTTAATTTACGAGAGAAAACGAAAGAGAGAATGAGGGAGTGCGAATGGGAGTGAAGCGAGAGAGTGAGGTGCACGGAAAGGAAAAGGAAATGAAGGGAAAAGAAAAAAGAAATGGACAGGTGTCACAAAAATTTAAAAGGCAGTCCAGAAATGTGCCCATACACACTTCTGGGTAAAACTGTAAATACTGAGAATATTTAAATACCTTGGAATTATTTAAATTTACACCTCAGAAACATTTATTAATCAATAATCAATTAATTAAACTAGATTAGGCACACTAATAAATCTTAATTACCTTAATTAATCTCGTTTAATTCTTCGGGGTGTTACAAGACACTCGTTGCGTCCTTGACTGTGATGCGGAGTATGTGGCGTATCGTAAGGCTATTTGTGTGATGTGATTGTGAAACCTTATTTTAGCACTAGGAGTAGTTCACTCCATTTCTAAACTGGCTGAAACCGTGTTGTGAAAGTTTCATAATAGTACATTTCTCTTAGAACACTAGCATTGTTCGCTCAAGCATGATGATAATGTGTTCTATTTTGTGAAGAGAAATAGCAAAAGGCCTCATTGTTATTGAAAACATGCCTATAAACAACATGTTGGCAGTTCCACTAAAGGCTAGCCTATTAGGCGTTTTAAGAACACGAATCCCACTCGAAACTGTAAGGAGCCTGTAGTTGTATTGAGTTAGTGAGAGTTTACTGTCATTTGTGTGTGACATGTTGTTATTGATAAGTATTGCTTATGCCTCAAATAATACATGCATATTCATGAATCTGTCACTTTATATGTGATGTTGTGTTGACACACTTTTTAGTTGGCAAAGTGACAAGTTGAAAAGAGACCTCTGGTTGTTAGTCTCTATCATTGTTTTTTATCCATATATTAAAGTTGTCATCATGCTTTGATGAATCTCTAGCGCCAGATTATGTATAATGATTGTATCCTGTCGATACGTTATTATGCATAATTGTTTTCGGCTTGTGTTTATTATGTGAGATTCTTAGTTGATGCTTATGCTGTGATGAGTGAATATTTGTTGTATGATTATGTCGTCCAAGTGGGAGACTGTTGGAATATTTTTATGTGGACTTCCATAATCATAATAAGTCACTCTGTATTTAATATCTCAGAATATTTAGTCAGCCCATTGGACTAAATACCCTCTCCATTGAATATTGCTTAAAAGCCCTTAGGTCCATTTGGTTTATATAGGCACCACCCCTTCTTTAGAGAAGGGGGGCTTGAGCTTGTGGGGCATTTTTGGGGTGTATGGCCGACCCTTCTTCTTCCTTTTGCAGGTTCTCCATGGATTCCGGCAGGCCATTGACGTTTTCCGGCTACCATGAACGGCTTGTCTCCGCTGCCCACCAGAATAT